AGAATTACTCATATAGTAATAGCAAATTTAATGTAAATGCTGGGGGAAATAGCTAAATTTTGTGAAATAAGAATAAAATAGTACTATGCATAGGTAGGTCTATAAGTTAGGTTATATGGTAGCTAAAATCGTAAAATAAAGCTATTTTTAAAATACCACTGCCAACTACTCCGATACAGGGAATCGAATCCTGGCCCTCTCGGTGAGAGCGAAAAATCTTAGATACTGGACCATATCGGAGCGGAAAATGAAGATTTTTATACAATATATACTTGTTGATGTAATAAAGTCAGATTAACTAAAAACTTATTCACCTCCCAATAATTTATAAATTTCAAAATATATTTAATTTTAATATAACATGATTTTTATTTAATCTATAATTGTCTACATAATGATTATATTATTCTATTACTAATATTTCCAACCGAATTTCACTTTAAGACCTTCAAATAGCTTCATATCTTGCTTAGATACTGATGGTGACACCTTGTTGAGAGCGGTATTGAAATGGTCCATGGAAACGAGCACTTTCTTTTCTTGTGCTAATTCAGCTCTAAGCTCGCCATCTGATTGATTTTCTGAAGGGCCTTTATATAAGGCAGATTTGAGCGCGACCACTGAAGACTCGCGCACCAGTGAAGCAAGATCAGCACCACTAAATCCTGTAGCACGATCATCATGAGCAATTGATTTGAGATCGACAGCATCTGATAACGGTGTCTTCTTGGTTAAAGTCTTCAGAATGTCTGCGCGTTCATCTGGAGTAGGTAACTCTACATATAATAACTTATCCAATCTTCCTGGACGTAAAATAGCAGGATCAATCATATCTGGGCGATTAGTAGCAGCGATAATAAAAACTTGTTTTCTAGATTCTAAACCATCTAACTCTGTTAAAAGTGTGTTAACAACTCTGGCAGATACTTCAGATTGATTTTCATCTCTACGACCACATAAAGCATCCATTTCATCAAAGAAAACTACACATGGGGAAGAAGCTCTAGCGCGATCAAATACCTGGCGAATAGATCTTTCACTTTCACCAACATACTTATTAAGTAATTCAGGGCCTTTAACACTGATAAAGTTAGAGTGAGCTTCATTAGCTACAGCTTTAGCTAAAAGAGTTTTACCACATCCAGGAGGACCCCATAATAATACACCACAAGATGCCGAAATACCAACCTGTGTAAACAAGTCTCTATGACGAATAGGCTCAACAATTGCCATACGGAGTTCTTGACGAATAGTAGAAAGAGCTCCAATATCGCTCCAACTGACGCCAGGAACGGTAGCAAAACCTTCTCTCTTAGATGATGGTTGAACTTTCTTAACAGCTTCAAGGAAATCATCCAAATTAATTGCCAAAGATTCCAATTCCTCATCTGATAAAGGATCTGAATGCACAGTAAGGAATCTTTGAATTGTAAGAGGTGCTGGATCATCTGTAGGATCTTCAAGGGTTGGAGTAGTAGAAGTTTGGTGAACTAATGTGCTAAAAATGCGCTTAACAGCAATCATACCAGCAGCAGTAACCAAAGCCTTTAAATCAGCACCAACATAACCAGGAGTTAATTTTGCTAGCTGTGTCAAATTAAGATCCCCAGATAATTTTAACTTAGAGCTCATAACTTTAAGAATTCTATTTAATAAGGGTTAGGAGAATGGTTAAAATTTTTAGTTGGGTACAAATACCTTTCTCTTGATAACTCATCAGGAATAGGAAGTTGAATTTCTCTATCAAATCTTCCAGCTCTTCTTAAAGCAGGGTCGATCGAATCAGGGCGATTGGTAGCTGCAAGAACAATAACAGGTTGATGATTTGTTTTATCCCAAGACAAATCTAAATATATTAGTTAATATAACGCTATAGTTAAGATTTTGTAATTAACTTACCATCTAAACAAGTTAATAATTGAGCAACCATTCTATGCTCCATTTGTCTTTGAGCTGTTTCTCTTTTAGGTGTAATAGCGTCAATTTCATCAATAAATAAAATACAGGGTGCTGAATTCTAAAAAACTATATGTTAGATTATCAGCTTTTAACTATTCTAGTTGAAATTACTCTAGCTTCATCAAAAACATCTCTAATTTTCTTTTCAGATTCTCCTGACATACCAGAGACTACAGAGGGTGCTGAAATTGGTAAAAATGGAACACCTAACTCACCAGCTAGTGCGTTAGCTAACATTGTTTTACCACATCCGGGTGGCCCATGTAATAAGATACCTCTATTTAATAAAAATCAATCTCTGATAGAATAACTGATAGTTTAAACTTACCTTGGAGGGTCGATACCAGTGTGTAAATAAATTTCGGGGTGACGAATTGGCATTACTACCAGTTCTAAAACTTCCTAAATTAAACAATTAATATCATATCAAATTTTGATAGCAGTCGATTACTTCAATAATAGCATCCATACCACCAAGATCTTCTAGTACGTATGTAGGAGCAGTTTGGTAAGAAGAGCTAGATTCTAAAATAGTATGGATTAATATTTTTGTTTTTATATTATATATGAATAAACTATAATAAATATTACTTTTAGCTTTTTTAGCAGGGTTTCCGCTACCTTCCTCCTTCTGATCTGATTTACTACTGGTTTTCCACATTTTCATCATATTTTGATTTAAGCTATTATTTACCTAAATTATATAAAATTAACCCTTATATATTAATAATTATATATTTATATTACTGTGCTATTAGGAGTTGTAGCGATAGAGTTAGCTTCTAAGGGCTTTTCCTCATCTGATTCTATTAAAGAAATAGTTGGAGTTCTAACAAATCAAAAAAAAAGTTAAAAACCATATTGATCAGCTTAATAATTTTAGTTTTCTTACCCAGCTTCCTGAGGTGTTAACTCAGTTAAATATTTTTGTAAAGCTAAACGAATAAAAAATGATCAATAAAAAATTACTAAAAAAGTATATATAAAAATACCTTGCTCAGCTGAAGAAACTAATAAAGGTTGCTTAACACGCTTTAAAGGCAAGTGCCATTTTTGAGCGGAATCTAAAAAAGTAGTGATATCAAGCTCTTCTTTAGGATTTTGAATTTCGAACTCCTTAACATATCTCAAAATTAATTCATATAACTTATTAACGTATTGATTCGATAAAGAGCCACCAAATGTACGCTTGGTATTTGGACCCATTATTAATTATTGAAATATTATATTGCTATTAAAACTTAATAATTAAAAGAGTGATTAATTAGATATGAAAAATTAGCAGTTAATAGTATATGATGGAAAAATTTAAAAATTATGCAAAAATAGAAATACTCACATATGCAAATTAAAATTTTTAACTAAGGGCGTATAGCTCAGTGGCAGAGCAATCGACTGCAGATCGATAGGTCCTTGGTTCAACTCCGAGTGCGCCCTTATTTTTTTAAAATGAATTTTTTGACCTAATATTTAAATGATTTTTATAAGCTATAATAGTATAATTCAAGCTCTAAAAACATGCAGAACAAATCATTATTTAATATGTAAATGCTTATATTATAAGAAAAGTTATTTTTTATTATTAAAATATTAAATGAATTAATATAAATTATTAAAGGAAGTAGTAACGTACTAGGAAAACACTCATAACAATAACTATAATAATTAATGGAATACCATATTTACGATAGAGTGCTAACCAGTTTAAGTGTTGAGCATCTTTGCGATACTTTAAGCTTTGATCCCTTAACTGATCGGATAATGTATTCATTCCTATATAATATAATTAATATTTAGTGAAATGCTTTAATTAATCAAAACTTACTATCTAAACTATCGCCTCTCCATAATAAATCTTCCATGTTTTTAGTCATAATTCTTGTAACATCTTGTAAATCCTCATTTAATTTGCTCAAATTGTCAGTTGCTCTGCTATCTTGATAGATTTTTTTTGTCTTTTGAATAAATTCATCTAATGCATAAATTAGTAAAACTAGTAAGTATTTTTCTGTATTTAGTTACCAAATTTAATAAAAGCATAAGGTCTCAAGCCTGGCTTATGGTACTCATTACCATAATTAGTGAAAAATTCTCTGCTTAATTCCTCTAAATAACTAAAGGCTAACTTTCTGGGGTAACTCTTTTCACAAATAGTTAAGTAGCAAATATCTTGCTCTAATAAATAGCTATAAAAAATAAATTTAATAAAAATATAATATTGAAAATTAAGCAAAATTACTGTAAGAAAAATTTACCACTTTCAATGGAGCAGCGGGGCTCTGACTCAGGGCTTAACTTTCTAAAAAATAATTTTGTTTGAGCTTTACACTCGTTTAACTCGTGGGAGGACTATTAAAATAAAGATTAGATAAAACAAAGTATAAATTTTATTCATTTACATTGTCATCGTCAGTTGAAGCAGCTAATAATAAACCATCTGAAATTCTAATAATTGTAGTTGATAAAACCATCTTTATTTCTTATTTAGTATATAATTATTTTTTTATTTATTAGGAGTAAAAGAGAGAGAGTAAATTAAACTATAGGGAAATTTGCTTTATTTAAAACTTAAGAATTATTTTATTTTTTGACGTGGCAATTTTCTTACGAATTATGATCTAATTTTAAATGTTTATTAATTACAGTTGGTTCTCGAATTAAACATGTAAATTTAACTTATGTCACTTAATGATTATAAAGATATTTTACATCTCTCTATATATTTCCATTTAGATATTACCTTAGCTATTAGCCTACACTAAAATTATAGTAACCCACTATTTATATAAATGGTTTATTAATATTTATACTCTATAATAAAACGTATAAGTCGAAGTATATCTGTAAAATTTAAATAATATACTTCATCTAACTTTAGCTTTGTGATTAAATATAAAGTTAACTATATACCATAAATAACCATAAAACAATATTTTAATTCTTCGCTGCATTATTCTCAGTTATAAATAATTATTTTCTACTAAATTAATACATATCTCTATTCAATGATATATAGCCAATATCACAATTATAATTATACAAATTATATTCAGTAATCATTACACTTTCTGCATCCAATTGAGCTTATCAAATACATCATTATTGAAACTAGACTTCAAGTTTGGCTTAAAAAACTTATTTAATGTTATTTTTAAATAAGCCCAACAATACTATTTCAAAGTATACTAAATATCTAGAAATTGCTTTTATCTTATTCATAATAAAATATAAACAATAAATACTATTATAAAGTATATTAAGTTACTATATGATAACTTAAC